AAAACACTGTGTTGAAAACAACCTCCAGTAGAATACAATTTCCTCCGATGTGAAGCTACAAAGTGATTGTTTGAAAAATCTACAGTAGATTATTGTGAGCTTCGAGCTATGGAGAGCTCTGAACTGCGCCGGAGTCCCTCTTTTCAACTGTTTTCTCCTTTCAGTTGCTGGTGTAAAGGCAAATGATGCTGCTCTGACGGTGGAACCGCACACTCCTGCTTGGATCATCCAAATCTCCCATGTCTTACTGAGCCCGCAGATTGGCACCGGGCTTTTTTTGAGAAAGGGAGCAGAAACATTGAATTGTAAAGCTGCTGGCACTAGAGAGTTACTATACAGGTCAAATAGCAGCTACAAGCCGCCATGATTCCGAATGTAGCTTGCAAACCAGTTCCATAGGGGTTGATCATTGCGGAAGGCTGTATATTTTAGCTATTCCAGGAGCTACCGAACTATGAGGTGAAGGTGGTGTAGTGACAAGTGGCGCGCTTACCATCCGTGCGATCCTGGGTTTCCCGGGTCGACTTCCGCCCAGGCCAACCAAGCCTTCTACCCTCCGGGGACGGTAAATTGGTACCAGATTCGTCTGGGAGGATAAAACACTGACTTGTACATCGGCTGGCCACCGCAAGTCATTGTATAGGCCACATCGCATTCAATAAGCCAGATTCTGAATGGAAGTAGAATGCGTGCCGCATCCCACAAAGGGATTGATCAGCGACGAAGACTTTATCCTTTTTACCGGTGCTATCAAGTTCGGGAGAGCATTTGAAGGAGTCCGTGTACAAATAAGACTAAAGCCATCCAAAACGATAGAAATGCTGCTCTGGATCAGCTAACCCTTGAGCTCACCCGCATTCAGATTCGGGCGAAAATCCGTATCTCCATTGAGGATGTCTTCTTTTCACAAGAAACTACTTTGCTGTGATGTAGCCCTTTTCTAAATATCCTGAGAGGACCGCTCTTGGGGCGGCACCCAGAGACACTATTCGTATTCTGCCTTGAGCATAATGGCTATTGCTCGTTAGCTCGAAATTCGTGACATCAAGCAGTACCGACTTTTAAGAAAAAGGAAATAAGCAAACATCATTACTCTGTTTTGTCCAGATTGCTTAATGGTAATACACAATAAATCTGGCTTGCAGCTGCTTGTCAACACGTAATGGCCATCTCCAGTGAAATAATAAATTCTTCCATTGTAGGCAGTTCTTTAACGAATATGCAGAAACAGCCAGATCGATTCAGTGTGACATTTCTGAATTCTCGGTGATTACCACAGGTGGGCTTCGATCTAGGACGAGGTTTCGAAATCTCAAAACAACTGGGGACTATCTTTCGTTCACAATTATTTTCAACTGAATGGTCACAACCCTCTATGCGCTCTTGGCACTTCATGCCTTGAGCAGTAACTGATGGCGCAAATGCTGTTGATGCCCATTGGTAATAAATCTCTTTCAAGTGTTCACACTGAGGTATTGAAACCCAGCAGAGCTCCTGCTTTGCAAAGACTTCACTACTTGCTTCAATAAACAACCTCAATTAGTAAGAGGCGTAGGGGCGAACTGTGCAGACTGGCTTATAACAGAATACACAGCTATGTCCGGGTTTGATCGCCTTTACACCCGTGAATCAATGTCGGGAACTTTAGGTCCACGATGTGACCCGAGGATGATGATAATGATGATTATGTCCTACGGGCATAGAATGTTTGCAAAGAGAAACTGGAGGATTGACAGTGCGAAAACAAATTGATGTTGCTTACTGTAGAGAACAGCTATTGGGACAAAGATCACCTGTATCACCTGTGCTCCCGTTGATCATCGAGTTCCTCGAGCGGGCGCCAGTGACGTCTCCATTCGTCCCTGCAACGTGCAAGAGTTGCCCAATGGGTTCTCTGTGCTCGAGGGACACAACGAACGTCATACCATTCCATCAGAGTTTTCGCGAAGGAATCTGAGGTGGTCGTCCAGGTGTACAACTGACATCCCTTGGAGCTTAGTTTCAAGGGATTTCAGCGTCAGTTACCTACTCTGGTCCAGCGGTCGTCTTCGGAACGCAGACGTGCTCGGCCCACCTGATCTCGAGTCTTCGAAAACTGGCGAACGCGGAGTCTCTGATCTTCGATCGTCGGCGGACTGCGGAGCTCCGTATAGCGGGTTACACTGAGCATCGCTCTTTCGATGGCGCGTTGAATGCAAGTTCGTGCTGCTTCCGAAGAGTCCAAGTTCGAGGTGTATGTTAGGGCAGGCGTCATCGCGTAATCAAGAACTTGGGCACAGAGCCTGGGGTTCTTCGTCTTTTTCGCTGCTCCTCGATGATCTCGAAAGCTCCCCATGCTCCAGTCTGGTGCTAGGTCGTTCATCATATTGATTTCCCGACCCAGGTACACATAGCCTTGGGCATTCACAGATGTTCGTTGAGCGAGAATGGGGCATCGGAAACCAGTCTGCTCCTTATACACATCGTCTTCGTTACATTCTGCTGCAAGCCGATTTTTCCACACGCGCAATCGAAATCAGCCGGCATCTGCTCCGCTTGCTCAATGTCTGGTGTTATCACCACGACGTCATCCAAAGCGAAGATGATGTAGCTGGGAGCCGTCGATCTTCCCCTCTCTCTTGAAACCCCTCTTTTCACGTCGATGATCTCCTTGTAGAATGGTGAGGCACTGGTCGCCCCAGAACACTCATAACGCACTGTCGAAACTTCAGTCCACCCAATGAGCTGTGCATTTTGTTCTGCAGGCGATAATGCCCGAAAGCAGAAACTGGAGGAGGGACAGGACGGAGATGGGCAGATGTTGACCACTAGAGCGGCCACTTTCATAAAAAATGCTACTTTCATGAAAATACCAGACTCATATTGACACCTATTGGCATGAACTTGACCCAGCATAAGAACTGAATGTCATATCCATAAGTAGGACACGAACAGCCTTCGTACACATGTTTGCACTAGTTCTGGAAAATCCGATAGCCCCAAACTGGAGCGAACTGGGCCCTTCAACAGAGCTCGGGAATTGGTTTTATTTCACTCAGTTGTTAGCAATATGCCACGTACAACACTAAACGGCAAGTAATAATGTTTTGGTAATATAATATATTTCATGTTTATATCAATCAATAATAATAATGAGTAATAATCACTTTCTAAAAATTTGCTCCATATTGGTGAACAGGGCATTCCGCTGAGTTACAGAGCCCATACCGAACTCAACCGACTGAAGTACTCATCCATTCGGCTAGCGTTTTCTTCCGAGACTTCGGAAGGTCGCTGCGAGTCAATTTTGTAGGAAAAGCAGCACGATGGGAGACAAACACCCAACAGTCGACGCAGCTCACCAAGCATCCATAACAACCACCAGACGAGAACTGTGAAGGATCTGAAATTGAACGATCACGTTGAAAAGTTAGTATATGTAAGACCGAGTATGGGCTGGGCTAATGAGCTTAGCAGACTGTAGGAGATAAGAAAGTTCAGGGTGACGAGAAAGGAAAAAAAAAAAAAAAAAACATTTTCGAATTGTATATCATTCTCCCCCCCCCAAAATATTGAGGTGTAGCATTGGGCGAGCAGTCCCTAGAGGTTTCCACGCCGTTGGGCCGCCTCTTCCCTCTCAGAGTCCGTCAGTGCATGCTACTCCTCTGTTTGGAGAGGGGGTGGGGTTGGGACGTTCATCTAGTTAGCTGGCCTCTCTCACTGGCTCCTGCTAACTTGCACGTCTTACTATGCTGGGATTCGTAAGCTCTCGTCAAGTATGAGCGAGCTCCTCCTGTTGCTTTATAAGAGTGTACAGGTGTCCACATGGGTCGCCTATGATCAGTGCGGCCCAGTGAAGAACTAAACACCCACCAAGCCGAACTACCCCCAGAAGGCTTCCTGGGAAGGGGAGGCTTCCTCGAACCACTCTTTTTCACATTCTCGTCTCTTGCAAAGGAGTGGAGCACCAATGAAGAAATCACAAGAACACGCAGGCTCTCCCACCAACACGACCAGCGTAGATTCTGTCCTCAAGTAATCGCTTGTTGTGCAACCCTTATAAAACGAACTGTTGAGCTTTGCGCTGCTCTCCTCGAAGGCTTCTAATTTTTCTAATCTTGAAGTTACACGAAAAGAAGGAAGTAGTTGGTGAAGCACGCTCCGGAGCGCTTGCTGAGGTCTTCGCTCGCAACAGTGAAATCCAGAAAAGAGTCAACAACTACTGATCACTTTTTGTTCAGTTTTAGAGCGTAGTGCAGCACTAGAGTACATCCAGAGCGATCATCTTCGCGTAAACCGCAGTTGGTGGCGTATAATGCCCGCAGAAAGGGTGGGGGAGGAGGGAAGCTGCTATCCCGACCCCTTTTCCCCTCACCCGACGGCGATTTGTGTAGGTAAGACGGTAGGTAAGCCGTCCAGGTTGCGAAAGTGCCCTACTCGTACTGCAAGAAAATTGAGGTAGGAGCTCGGCAAAAATCTCTCACAAGAAAATTATGTGCACTGTGTGCAACACCCTACAGAGCGTCTCTCCGGTCCAGCAAGAAACAGAACTTACAGAGCAATGTAGTTGTTGAAGAGTGCATAAAATAAGTGTCCAAGCGGATGAGCTGCGTCAAATAGCAAAAAGGCCAAGATAAACAAGCAAGTACCAAGAAATCCCCCACATCGAATGACCCACAGAAAGCTGGACTAACATCTGAATATGCATACAAGCATAACCTTCTTTGGCAAAACTCAGCGGATATTAGAGACCACATTCATAATGGGTAGTGAGGAAACTGTTGCAGATGTTGGACCTCACCCCAACAAGGTGACTCTCAGAATGGTTGGCCTGGAACACCGCCGAGAGCAGTCATCCAGGGAGGACACCTGCGATAGAATGTGAATAGAATCTACATACTTACAATTAGCTTAGGCCTATGTACAGTCCGGTTATCTGCTGGACGCTGTGGGCGTGTGGAGGAGAGGCCGGTCAATGTGCAGGCGCCAGACGGTTTCCGCCATAGTACTATATTTGTTTCCAGGGCACGCGTTCCGAATCCAGCCCCTCGAAACACCAGCGTCCGCAGCGAACAAAGCCACATCAAAACCCGAGTAAGCTGATCTGTGTTCAGCTCATATCGTCGCAATCATTCGGGAAGGAGTAAAGAGGAGTGGATGTCACCAATTCTCGATTCTCACCTAGGGCTCTTTCGTCCGTCGATCACTAACCGATCCCTATTGGGAGAAAAGGGAGCGGGAGGAGGGCTCACCCGGCTCTCCTGATACTCACCGACCGACTGTGACGATAATAAGTACACTCGAGATCCCTGAGATCGGGTGGGCGTGGCCGCATGTTTCAACTTAACCATAAGGCTGCGTTTATACTTTGCGGCAGCGTAGCGTAGCGCTTCCAGCGTACGCCAGCGGCAGTGCCGAAGAGAGGATGCATATCGATCTAGCTTCACCAGCGTCACCAGCGGCACGCTGGCGTACGCTAGCGGCACGCTAGCGTACGCCAGCGTTTCTCCAGCGTTTCACCAGCGTTTTGCTAGCGTTTGCAGCGGCAGGGGAGTAGAGACTATGGGAGAGCTGAGTACAAAACACATCGATTGCGCGTCTCTCACTCGCTCTTAGTCTCTGCAATGCACATCGCTTCTGCGTCTCCGACGGCCGCATAGTCTCTACAATGCACATCGCTTCTGCGTCTCCGACGGCCACATAGTCTCTACAATGCACATCGCTTCTGCGTCTCCGACGGCCACATAGTCTCTACAATACACGTCGATTCCGCGTCTCTCACGGCCACATAGTCTCTACTCCCTGCCGCTGCAAGCGCTAGCAAAACGCTGGTGCCGCTGGAGAAACGCTGGAGAAACGCTCGAGAAACGCTGGTGAAGCTAGATCGATAGCTATGCTTCCCGTGCCCTCGCTACGCCAGCGTGCCGCTGGTGACGCTGGTGAAGCTAGATCGATATGCATCCTCTCTTCGGCACTGCCGCTGGCGTACGCTGGAAGCGCGCTACGCTACGCTGCCGCAAAGTATAAACGCAGCCTAAGGCGTCTACGCTTCTGATGCGATATTTTCATCTCGACACAATCGTTGTCGTGTCTCTGTCCAATACAGAACAAGATGACAGTTGTCCCAGACTGGAATATTCCACCAGTTCCTTACAGTGTTCGAATGCTCCGCCTACCCGATCTCAGGGATTTCGAGTATATACACTCGGGCGTTGATATTGCCTTACCCAACTAAAAGACATGAATAAGAGGAATCGTTTCCAAACCTTAGTCACTCGGACGTTCTCTTCGAGTTGATATTTGAGACAGAGTGTGTAGGTGATTGTTGACACACCGGTTATGTTCGTGAGATCACGCAGTAAGGTAACGTCGCTACGATGAACCATAGCTATTGCCACAGAGGATAATGCCATAATGATTGCAGACAGAATACTCAGGCCAAGCACAAAGAATATCGATATAGATGCTGAATTTCAATGTTGATCAAATGTATCTCATTTAAAAACAGAGCAAAAAAAAGTGAAACTACACTCTTCCACATAATGATAGTTCCACCTCTTAAATATTACAAAATCTTACATGAGGTTTTTCAAAAATGTCCCCAAATAGAAAATGAGGTAATAATCAATACCAGTTTGCATGCCAACACCGGAAGCTAAAACAGGGTTTTTTTTTGTTCATTTTTTGAAAATTGGTACTCTGACAATTCCACAAAATGATAGTTCCACCTCATGTTTTGTCGCTGCGTCTCATTTTTGTTGGGTAAAACTGTCTCATCATTGTGACTCTTTGCCTTTTCTAGGCTATAGCAAGAGGACATTCATTATCGGACCCTGAAAAAGGACAGATAATCGCAAAGAAGACTCAAGGACTGTCAAACCGTCAAATCGCACGGGATTTGGGCCGCAGTCATCATGTGATCAACAATTTTTCAAGCAACCTGCAGGGTATGGAATTAAGAAGAGCTCTGGGCGTCATCCTCCGCTCTCGGGAAGCGCCGTATTTCGAGAGAAGCATCAAATTCTCCAATGTCGTGCCGGGAAATAAAGTCAACTTTGAAGCTTAACGTCTCAGAGGAAACTGTTCGGCGTGTCTTGAAGAAGTCTGAGTTCATTCTCAGGAGGAAAATGAGGAAGGCACCGTTTCTGACAGAAATGCATCGTGAAAAGCGAATCGACTTTGCTAGGAGATGTTGCCGAACCGATTGAAGTAAGGTTGGCTTATGGCAGCGGTGGCCTACTGCTTGTCTGCCTTGCCTTCTTTTTCTTCAGATCGTGTTTGCTGATGAGAAAAATTTTACCTGCGACGGTCCAGACCGAAATCAGTCCTACCGGCACGATCTTAGGCAAGATAAGCTCCATTTTTCCAGGCGGAAGAGGAGGTGGCATTGGGGTATGGGCTGCCATCACTCCAACGGGACATCTAGAATTGTTTTTCGTTTCGAAGAAAATGAAGTCTTCCGTTGTTGAATGTCATGCGACGAGGTCTCCTCCCTTTCTGGCGTAGAAATCGGCAAGAAGACCTCGTTTTCGTGCATGATAATGCACCAATTCATACCAGTCGAAGCACTCGAGAGTGGTTGAGTCGTCATCAAATCGCTGTTTAGCTCTGGCCAGCACATAGCCCGTCTTCAACCCAGTCGAGAATGTGTGCGGCTTCATGGTGAGCAAAGCGATTCCACGATGTCTGCGATTTTAAGGAGTCAATCATTGATGCATGGCACCATGTCGACCGAAAGCTTATTGAAAACCTCTATTCGAGCATGGACAACCGCATTTTCTAATTTATTCTATGGAGCTTCAATAGATTACTAAATTAACAATTCATTCGTTTTGTTGTACCCTTGTTATTGGATGAGGGATTTGTTTGGTGGAACTATCATTTTGTGGAATTGTCAGAGTACCAATTTTCAAAAAATGAACAAAAAACTTGTTTTTTTCAAGTCAGTTTCCGGTGTTGACATGCAAAGTGGTATTATTACCCCATTTTCTATTGAGGACATTTTTGAAAACCTCATGTAAGACGGGATTTTGTAATATTTATGGGTGGAACTATCATTATGTGGAGCAGTGTATAGTATTGTTCGTTGCGTTTGGTTGGCGGGGCGTATCAGGGGCTTCCCGTTTCTTTGCTTTCTTTTTCTCTCGTATAGCGGCAAGGTGTATATGATCCTTGTCAGTCGTTTTCTACCAGCTGTTGCCGCTTACCTGCTTCAACAACAGGTAGAGAACGGGATGGTGGGGCGCCAAATCCAGGCTCACTGACAAGCCCCATAATCCGCAGCAAACAAGACACTGTAAGAATTTCTACGATCAACTGTTCATCTTTTTAAACTAGCCTTGAAATGCTTTGATGAACCCATTGTGAAGGGCGACTATTCCAGCCGCATTATTCATGTCCAGGAGCCTTCTCCCTTCTCGTAGTCGTGAAAAGAGTCGTGCAAACCTCATGTCTAAGGCCGCTGCCAGTCTCCTTCATTCGACGAAACCTGACAACCCTCGAAGAAGTCCTCTCGGGATAGGATGAAATGCTCAGCGCTTGCCGTAGCTTGTCATCGCTCCTAGCTCACCCCCAAATTGACGGTATTCCATTTAAGGCTATGTGTTCGCTGCAACACGGCAAGGTGAACACCAGTTCTAATCACTACTAGTAAAGGAAAACACATAAACGTATTTATCGCGAAATTTCTGATGATGCGGGCCGCAACTGCTCATCCTGTGATCGCTTGTACAGAACAGCAGTCCGTGAAGAGCGGCAATTCGTGTAAGTGAAGGATTCACTTGCATCACTTTTCACTTTTTCTTAAGACTTCACACTTCTCACCAAAGCTAGAGCTCCTAGTTTACATGGATAGGAATCAGCAAACTGGCGGTGTGCCTCCCTTCCCCCTCCCCCCTTCCGATGATGAACAGCGCTTATCTCACTTACAGAGGCTAACCCTTTTCAGAGTAAAAACAAGCTTCTATCATGGATATAATAGTACGCATACAACTGTGCTTGCATTACCGAATCGATTGGTGGATGTCAATTCACATAGATCACGCAGATTACTCCCTTCTCTCAACTGTCTATTCCCTGTCAAGAATAGAGATGGAAAGTTTTCAAGTGCTTCTTCAGCTATTTTCTTCGACGGTCATCCAACACTGCTATCACGCATACACTCTACTCTCTCTTCTCATGTAACCGGATGTCGGGGCGCATATCAGGCCAGTGAGTGATGCGCACATGACTGTTGTAAAGCTGGTTTATCGAGCGATTTTCGTTTGGAAAGGCGTAAATTGCGACAAAGGTAGAAAACAGACGTGCATACCGAAGCATATATTCTGTCCATGTTCATTTGCTGCGCTTCAACAACTGTGTTGCAGAAAGGCTTTGCGCCGTCGGAAAACGCTACGGTGAGCCCCGCACGACGCGCACCGACAGTCCTAATGAAGGATGTATACTCTGTATAAAAGGAGAAGTTTCTGTGTGTTTGATCGAGCAGACCATAGGAGAGCAGGCTCCGTCCAATGGGCGGCCGTATATTGTCGCGTGAGTGTGTCTAGGGAGTATATCTTTTTGAAAAACGTCTTGTCAACAAACTCTAACGCCGCCCAACGTTTGGGATGGGGGCTGAGGGCATGTTTGAAAAATATTACTTGGATTAACACATCAGGCTCCGGACCAAGTTAAAGCCTCGCACAAATGGACCGGGGTGGCCGTGCAACCGAAAGTGCAACCGGACAAAAAATTCGGTAAAAATCCTTCCGGAACTGATGACAGGTCAATGGCCGGGAACGCGTATTCCTGCTATGCACCACGTGGAATCTACCGCGACAATGGTGTGGGGGCGTACCTGAAAGTAGGGGGTGCTGGTTTTGTTCGGACGAGCGGCCGAATTGAAATCTTCAGAATTACAGACCATCGCCGCTGGCCACGGGAAAACCGGCATCTTGAGTAAAGAGTAAGCCAGGTAATAACAAATAAGAGGCACACACCAGAACTGGGCGTTGGAAGACAGCCGGCAGCCTGCATCGAACGCGTTTGTCTGGGGTAGGCAAGGGACTCAAGTAATAAATTTCGAGTCGGACCCGAACACCCGAGGCAGTGCAGGCAAATCTCGTCCGGAATAAGAACTGGGGTCGAGCTTGAATTGCAAAAGGTAGGCATACTTGATAAATGTACTCACGAAAAAAAAATCGGGTACCGACATTCCACCCCTCGCCTTTACGAAAAATTCACAACCATCCACCAGGGAGACCAGGGGTTTGTAATAGTCTGGAATTGCAGAAAAAAATTTTGCAATAGTCTGGAATTGCAGAAAAAATTTTTATGTGCCGGAGGGTCACACGCATAAGGAGGATCGCCCGCCTTCGGCGGGCGATCCGACTGGTCACCTACAATTGTACACTTGGAGGCCATAACCCACTGTGAACCCTGAGGCCCCCTTCAGTGGAGCCTGTGTTCCACAAAGTTTCACTTTCCACACAATCCTGACCCGTCCGGGGACCACGCAACCTTAACATGCTCACTTTCACACTATCCTACAGTGCAAATCCTTAGGGGATAGCCCTTCTATTGAAATATGTTCCTAAGGCGACAATTGTAACCGTGCATTTGTTGAGTACAAAACAAAATAGTAAGCCATCGGTGGTAGCGAATAGAAATATCCTACGGTGAATACCAAGGTTTAGATGGAGCACGCAACCATGCCCACAACATCTTCGATACAGAGTGTACCTGAGGCGGAAATGGCTGAAATAGTCGGCTTCCCACCTGCGCGATCAGGGTTTGATTCCCGGATTGGCTCTCGCAGTTCAACCAGGTCTTCCTCCACCGCAGCCGGTAAATCGTTACGATGTTCGTTTGGAAGAAATCGCATATAGACCGGTCGCGGAAATCACTCATTGTGTGCCACACGGCATTCAATGAGCCACTGCGATTCTGAATGGATGTAGCATGCGTATCGCACCTAAAAAGAGACTGACCTAAAAGTTTCACCCTTATTTCTTCACCTTTCACGGTGGAACTTTAGGAGCTGTCGGATCGTTCAAATTCCGTTGTCAAAAGGCGTCTGCAAGACTCACCCAGCATTGTTAGCGAGTGGTAGGACACAGCCAGTACTATCGCAGCACCATTTATTAGGACAGAGATCCAGGGTCGCGGTAACTTCTCGTAATCGGCAATATAATGCGAAGCAAACACTCGCTCGGCGATCATCGCTGGAATCATCGTCGTGACGGTACACAGCGAGGTAAATCGTATAGCCGTATTTACGAACACCAGTAAGTCGAATGAGCTCTCTGAACATGTATAGATTTGAGCGATTGGGCTGTGATGCTTGCTTGTTGCTAGATATGCTTTTTTATTAAAGCAGAAGGACCATTTTTATCTGTTGATCTACAACGCATTTATAGCGCAAGGAGGCGTAACCCATGCAGAAGGTAAGAGCTGTTGAGGCGTGCTATGGTGCCTTCCTCGACCATGCACCTTTCACACTTAGCGTCTTACAAAAACGAACAGATGGGGGGACACAATTGTGGGGCTCATCCCGGCTCATTCCCACATGGACGGCGTATACTGTGACT